AAGATGCTGCCCCAAACCATTGAGGCAGTCAGCAGCAACAGCCGACCGCCCCCTGGTTTCTCAAGGCTGAAGGAGGAAGTGGCTGGGGGCGGGGACAGCCTCCTGCTGTCAGTCAGCCTTGAGCAGTGGGCGTGTTCTGGGAATGAGCGTGGCCAAAGATTCGGGCCCGCCAGGTGAGTGAGTACCGGGACACACAGCTACAGAGATCCCTACGGTCTATTGTATATACATATTTCTGGATCTATTGTATACACATGTTTCGTTTACTAATTTGTATTGAGATTGTAGTCCATCACAGGAGTGACCTTGGAGCGGTGGCTACTTTACAACACACACAGAGACCAAGGGGAACAAAAGTAGCCACCCTCCAGAAGGAAGGACAGTGTCAGCACCAATTCAGAGATGATTTGAGGATCTACAGCCGAGAGATACACAAATAAGATATTTTTGTTAAAAGTCAAGGTACCTGAATGCATTTTAGGGTTTAACTCCTGTGTTTAGTGTGACTTTAACTACTACTGATGGATTGCTTGTCATTTTTTTGTGTTGATGTTCCTCCTGGTGCCACCTCTGTCCATGTACTCACAATTGATGAGGTGAGAGGTACATGTGCAGGATGGAATTTGCGATTTGCACTGGGCTGTCTCACTATAAATAATCGGCAGAAATCCTGCCATACTATATCTTCATTGCTGGTTTAAGAGTAGACAGAAGTAATGGCTCCCAGTATGTAGTTCCCACCAATAAAAGGAAAGGGAGAGAATTATACTGTGTTTACAAGTTTAGAAAAAATACATAGCTATGGATGATCACGTAATGTTTAGGAAATGTGCAATTTCCATTAAATGCTGTCAGTTCTGTTGCAGATTTTCACAGTCATTCAATCATATTTGCTATCTACAAGCTATTACTTCCAGGCTTTATACTTCACTGGAATATGTGCATGAGATGTGAAAAGCCTGTTTTGCCATCCCTCTAATAACATGCAGAGTGCACAGTATGGGAACTTTCTCTTCTCGCCGACTTGCTAATTATCCTGATAATTCTGCTTAACACTAGGGTCGCTCTGCTTGCAACTGCAGAAAACCAATTACAGGAAGGTCAGGCCTTGTCTGTCGCCGCACAGAAATACATGTTTATGAACTAGATTCTATTATGCCAGCAATATGGTGCTGACATATCTCTTAGCATTGCGTATCAATAAGTAGAACACAAGCCTTTCTGGCACGAGTGTGTGCAGTTTATGAAAGGGACAAAACAGCAGAAATTGTCCAAATTCATTACCTTCCTCTACTGACTGCAGTGATTGAGAGCATCTTTTAAAGTACTTGTCAGGTTAGTATTTCTCTTGTGGGTTCCCAGCTCCGCCCACCTGCCATAATCACTACTCTCCCTGTTATCTGCTTATTCTATAGAGCAATGGTTCTCAACCTCGGTAACCTCAGGACCCACATTTGTCCTTGGTCATTAAGTCGTGGCCCAAGTCGCAGTGCAATGGAAAGTACAGCATTAGGATACCACGCATTCCGGTGCGGATGTACAAACTGTGGGTGGGAGGTGCGTTTGGGGTGCTATTCAAATAAACACACACCAAAACGCATAGTAGGTGCGATTGCGTGGTACAGTTTAACGCACTGCACTAGTGTGAACGGGCCCTCAAAAACACTGACATACATACACAGACACAATCTCACACTCTCAATCTCACACAAACATACACACTCCCAAAAAAATTTTAATTTAGTTAAAAAAACAAATTTAAGGTCCACCCTCAATATTCAGCGGCTCCTTCGGGGGTGAGCGCTACATGTGCAATGCTTGCTCCCTTGCGCGCCCTGTCAAGGTGCCAGGAGCCAAAATGTGACATCGTTCCAGGCACCTCTACACGACATGCGAGGGAGCTGTAAGCACTGCAGGTATAGATGGAGCTCCCTCACAACCATAGCTCCATCCCATCCCACCTCAAGCTGACACTCGGCGCTGGGCAGCATATTTTGAATGGCTGCTTGGCGTGAGAACTGATAGTGCTGTGCTAGTGGGTGGCAGGGGAGTCTCTCACCTAGAAAAGTGGAAGGCATGCAGCGACCCACTGAACACGGGGTCGTGACCCTCTTTTGGGTCACAACCTACCAGTTGAGAACCAAGGCTATAGAGAATGCAGAAGGAACAAAGATGAGCCTCCTATGCTACAGCAAAGGGTTTCCTCCAACTATCAAAAACATACAGTTAGTTTATTTGACTTTGTTCAAAACTGATTCTAGAGTTTTGTAAGGACATTAGATTGTGAGCTGAGTCGTAGGGCTGATGTGCATGGTTTGTGTATGCTACAAATCATTGCGCAATATGATGGCGTTTATAAATATTAGAAATAAATAGTTTTTTAAGGATTCTATACATTGAGCACTGCCATTGCTCTTCACAGACCATAAAGCTGGCCATACGCTAGTCAAATTTCAGCAGATTCCTGCTGATTCAGAATCCCCACCCTGTTCAACAAAAGTGAATCTTTCAGTTGACTTTTGCCGAAGGAGCAGGTCCAAACAATCTGCAGCCAATCAGCTCCAGTCACTCTTCGGGTATTCTAAAAGAGGAACACCTTACTTACTTTACAATACAAGCCTTGCAATAGCAGTCAGCCACAAAATCCCTGCTGGCCAACTGAAGAATGGGCAGGATGCCGTCAGAGCATCCCAGGTTGCTAAGAGCTGGATGGGGAGATGCACATCTTACACATCTCCCTTCCCAGCTCTTAGCAACCTGGGATGCTCTGGATGGGAAGGGGGGAGGCAGGCACATCCCCCAATGTAACTCAAAGAGATGCCGCCTGAGGCACCAGCCTAAGGCTGCCTTATTATAAGGCCAGCCCTGACTGGTTCACATGTCTGATGGCACCCATAGATCTGACCCCCAGATCTGGTGGTAGTCCATCATATTGGGTGACAGTCATATACTGTATGCGTTAACCAAAACTGGCTGCATAACATAAGCTCAACCCGGCTTAAGAAAAACAGCAACTATTTCTAAAATTTATCGATGCTTCTTGCAGTCATACACATGCGGAAGAAATAAAAAGTAGGACCTGTATGTGGTCACTTCTCTTTTGCAGCATATCAAAGCACAAAAGGCAAGAAAAGAAGAAAACATTACTTCCATAGTAAGCTGTAGAGTTCTTTCTGTAAGCTGTGCTGTCAGTCCTCTGCATGCAGAGAAGGGGTGGGCTTGGACACAAATTTCTGAGGGTGTCGTGTCCTGGAGTGAACATTAGCATCTTTTCTTGTAGCATGGAAATGAGATAAAGCTTT